GGCTGACAGTGGGAGCTCATGCTGCCACCCGGATTCGAACTGCCAACCTTTCAGTCAACAAGTTCAGCAGCTCAGTGGTTTAACGCACTGTGCCACCGGGGACTTAATTGTTGTTTAAGAGGATGAATGATACCCTGCCCTTCAAATATATACACATTAAAAACTAACATCAATTTCCCAATTCTGATAAGGCTGATGAAGACTTAATTCTTCCGTCTTCTAAAATGATCACTAAGCAAAGCAATCTTGCTTTTTGCATGAATTGTTATGTGAACAGTTCTTTGTTGTAAATTTACATTAACAATGCACATCTTGCTTACTCAGAAGTAACAGAATGTAATGGGATTTACCCCTGAATCAATAGGTTTGTAGCCTATTACTGTCATTTTCAAAATTAATGTGATTAATCCATTCTAGTTTCTTTAATAAATCATTTTATCATATCTACATATATTTGCATATGATTAGATTAGAAGCAATAAAGCATCTTGTTTTATTTTTAGGTGGTAACTGCAGCAGATGCCATCCTTAAAAGAGGAATACTTTAATATAGAAGATTGTCTGTTTATAAGATGGCATTATCACCTTCTTCTTTGAGAATCTGCATTATTGTTTTCAATCTGCTACCTGATTTGCTGCGGCTATTTCATAATCAACCAAACTGTTAACTGATTAATCTATAAATTAAATTATTTTTCACTGATTTCCCCAAATCCAATTAAAATTGGTAGATTTATGACAAGACTAAGAATTTTCTGAGTCCCATAGAGCAAGAAATCAAATAATTATTTAGTAGGAAACAATAAGAATAGCATATTATGGGAGTAAGGCTCTTATGTAGCCTTGCCCTGGGAATGTCATTTCCAGCTGACCCCAGGGATGCAGCCTCTACCAAATACTCTTGCCTTATAACTCCCCATACCAAATCCTACAAAAAGTTAGCTGTTTCTTTATGACATCTCATTATTGGTACATTATAGACCAGGCATGGGCAACCTTTGGCCCTCCAGGTGTTTTGGACTTCAACTCCCACAATTCCGAACAGCCTACCGGCTGTTCGGAATTGTGGGAGTTGAAGTCCAAAACACCTGGAGGGCCAAAGGTTGCTTATGCCTGTTATAGACTATTAATGCTTGGCAAGTCAACACAATTGTAACTGACCTCTATCTCGGTTCGCTAATGAAGTCCAAATTATGTCAGCCATCTTCAAGGCAGACTTGCCCATCTTAGAAAGCGAGTTCATTTGGGTATTCAGCAATGATTTAATTGTCTCTGGAGGTATTACTTTTAGTTGTTTTAACATTGGACTACAACTCACGAGAGGGTCCCTGGGTCATGAGAGGGTCTCAGCTTAAACCACTGAGCTGCTGAACTTGCTGACTGAAAAGTTCGAATCCGAGGGACGATGTGAGCTCCTGCTGTTAGGCCCAGCTTCTGCCAACCTAGCAGTTCAAAAACGTGTAAATGTGAGTAGATCAATAGGTACTGTCTTGGCAGGAAGGTAACAGCTCTCCATGCAGTCATGCCAGCCACATGACCTTGGAGGCGTCTATGGACAATGCCGGCTCTTCAGCTTAGAAATGGAGATGAGCACCACGCCCCAGAGTCGGCCACAACTAGACTTAATGTCAGGGGAAAACTTTATTTATAAGTTATAATTCCAATTTATTATGATTTATTTATTTAAAACATTTCTATTCCACTCTTCTCACCTCGAAGGGGACTCAGGATGGAGTACAACATACAAACGGCAAACATTCAATGCCGGGACATGAATTCATTATATGCATACATAAATATAAAAAACATTTCATCTCAGCATTAAAATACACTGCTTAAAACCATCATGGTCACCTTACAACTCAGGAGACCAGTTTAGTTCCTTGGCCATGAAAACCCACTGGGAGACCTTGAGAGAGTCACACACTCTCAGCCCCAGAAAACCCCATGATTTGGTTCACCTTAGCATTGTCTTAATGCAAAACCAACTTGCATACACACAACAACAACAACAACAACAACAGCAGCAGCAGCAGCAGCAGCTTGCCTAGCGTTAGATCTTTTAAACACACCCTTCAGGTTTTGACAGCAGTGATCTAGGCCTAATTCCACTACAATTGGTGCGTGATGGCACCTCTTATACACACACACATACTTATACAATAGAGTCTCACTTATCCATCATAAACGAGCCGGCAGAACGTTGGATAAGTGAAAATGTTGGATAATAAGGAGGGATTAAGGAAAAGTCAATTAAACATCAAATTACATTATGATTTTACTAATTAAGCACCAAAACATCATTTTTACAACAAATCGACAGAAAAAGCAATTCAGTACAAGGTAACGTTATGTAGTAATTACTGTATTTACAAATTTAGCACCAAAACATCGCAATGTATTGAAATAGCTGTGGATCCGGGCAGGAGACAGGCTGTGTTGGATAATACAGAACGTTGGATGAGAGAAGGTTGGGTAAGCGAGACTCTACTGTATATGTCTACAATTGTCCAAATTTCCCTTTCATGGATTGTATATGTAATAAGGTTTTAACAATCTCCCATTAATCATAAATACTGGGATCCAAAGGTTTTGGAGAACTACTGCAAATGAAGCTACATTTAAAACTGACATAACGGAAAGAAAGTAAACATTTATTTTTAAATGGTACATTGTAGAAAGCTTACTTTTTTGTTTTAAGCTTTTTGGCACATTATGGCTGATGTTAATAAATAGGTCTCATTGTGTATCTTTGGGTTTACTTCTGTCTATAGGTGTTCTGTACAATGTGTCAAATGTTATGACAAACACAAGATACTTCAGAATTCCAATTTGTAGGATAATGGAAATATTATTGCAGTCCAATAAAGGAAATAATGCAGTACAGAGACAAAAATGTTTGTTGTGACTCTTTTCCAGAAATATATACAAGAAATAAAAACTAGAGGGAGTTCAATGGCCTGCAAATATTTGAGACACAATGACATGCAAAGATTTGACAGTGCATTTTTAAATAGTAAATATTCCAGCCAAGTCAGGCAAACATGTTTGCCTCAGACCAAACACATATTTCTGTATTAGCATAAGAACATATTTTGATGAAAAGATGATGGGTGATGCTACAAAAAAGGAAAATAAAACAGGCCCATAAATAACCTCTGCATATTCCAGTATTGATAGTTCATGTTTATGGAAGCTTTAAAAGTGTAAATAAAGCTCATGTTCATCAATGTTTCTTTTTGAATAGCCCTTTCTGAATAAGAAAAGGATATATTGATAAATTATAATTCCGATGTATAATAATAATAATAATAATAATAATAATAATAATAATAATAATGGGTTGTGAGTTTTCCGGGCTGTGTGCCCATGTTCCAGAAGCATTCTCTCCTGACATTTTGCCTGCATCTGTGACAGGCATCCTCAGAAGACCTCCCTACCTCTAAGGATGCCTGTCATAGAGGTGGGCAAAACGTCAGGAGAGAATGCTTCTGGAACATGGCCACAGAGCTCGGAAAACTCACAACAACCCAGTGATGCTGGCCATAAAAGTCTTCGACAATACAATAATAATAATAATAATAATAATAATAATAATAACTTAAAACATGTTTGCATCAAATCTCTGAAAGCAGGAATGTATATCCATGTAAGAAAATATTTCTGGGATTTTAATCAATAGTGGAATAGCTTCTGCCAACTTAGCAGTTCAAAAACATGCAAGTATGAGTAGATCAATAGGTACTGCTTCTGCGGGAAGGTAACGGTGCTCCATACAGTCATGCTGGCAATATGACCTAGGAGGTGTCTATGAACAATGCCAGCTCTTCGGCTTAGAAATGGAGATGAGCACCACCCCCCAGAGTCAGACACGACTGGACTTAATGTCAGGGGAAAACCTTTACCTTTACTATTAATAACATATGCCATAATATAGTTATGGCAAATTTATATTATGCAGTTTAAATTCAGTAAAACAGCAGTAGCTCAGACAACTAACTTAAAGTCAGAGAAAACCTTTACCTTTACTTACTGTTTCATCACACTGGAGAATGAATCCAGTTTCTGTCTCCTGCAGAATTCTGGGGTTTGTAGTTTAGTAGTTTATGATGCCTTGAGTGTTGAACTTTGGCTTTCCAAGGGCCTTTCCACATAGCCATATAACCCAGAATTTCAAGGCAGAATAACCCACAATATCTGCTTTGAACTGGAGCCCCTTCCACACAACTGACTATAATCCCACGTTATCTGTTTTGAACTGGAATATATGGTAGTGTGGACTCAGATAACCCAGTTCAAAGCAGATATTGTGGGATCTTCTGCTTCAGATTCTAGTAAAGGTGCCTCCCTAAACTAGAACCGAAATACCACACCCCTAATCCTCTCTTGAGCATCTTCTGAGGTTGTTGTAGGTTTTTTTCAGGCTATATGGCCATGTTCTAGAGGCATTCTCTCCTGACGTTTCACCTGCATCTATGGCAAGCATCCTCACTACCTCTGAGGATGCTTGCTATAGATGCAGGTGAAACGTCAGGAGAGAATGCCTCTAGAACATGGCCATATAGTCCAAAAAAAAACCTACAACAACCCAGTGATTCCAGCCATGAAAGCCTTGGACAATACATCTTCTGAGGTTTTGCTGAGCTCTCTGAGGACATCACACCACCTGCTTCATGCCTCCATCTCCCAGGAAGGGTCTCTCTCTGGCCTAAACTGAGACATGATTGATTTCCAGTGACCAAGTAGGAATACTATTTGTACTGATGTCAGCAGAAGAGGTCTTGAGTGACCTCACTACCTCTGAGGATGCTTGCCATAGATGCAGGCGAAACGTCAGGAGAAATGCCTCTAGAACATGGCCATATTGCCCGAAAAAACCCACAAGAACCTAGATCTTGAGTGACTTAGGATCATTCAAAAATACAGAGGAGATATATAGTGAGAATGTGGCTTGGGGCGAAGGAGAAGGGGCCACCTGTCCCTCTGGAAGGGGAACTCACCTCCCTGAGCTGCTCCAGCTCCTGCTTGAGGACATCATACTCGGCCTCCAGCTCGTCGTACTGCTGCTTGAGGGTGAGCTTCTCCTCCAAAACCACCAGCCCGTACTCGGCCGCCTGGATCTTCTCGTGGGTGGTCTCGGTGAGCTCTTTGGTCAGCCTCTCGATTTCCGTCTTGTAATGGTCCACCGTCTCGGAGACCTCTTCTGCAGCCATGGCCTTCTTCGGGAAAGTGGAGGGAGAGAGGGAAAGAAGGGTGGGAAGGAAGGGATGGAGGGCGGCTTTGCCTGGGGCCGCTGGCTGCCCTCAGCTTAAGGCCGGAGGAGAGAGGAAGGATGCGCCATGAAAGAGAAGGTGGTGGTGGTGGTGGTGGAGGAGGGATGGAGTTGGAAGCCCCTCAAGGTGGCTCTGCACCATTTGTCCTTGGGCTGTTCTCCTTCAATCCGGTGGCATGGTGGGCTCCCTCTCTCTTCCTCTGCCCCACTCTCCCTCTTTCTCTCTCTCTCTCTCTCCTCTCTCTCTTTTTGCTTATTCAGAGCCGGCGGTCCGCCATGTCTCCCGGGCAGCCTTCACTGCAGTCTCTCTCCACCTGCTCCCCCTCGCCAATCCCTCTCTCTCTCTCTCCTGCCGCAGCCTCTCAGGGAAGGAAGGAAGGGAAGAAGGGATGGAGAGGAAGGATGGAGAGGAGGCAGACAGGGCGGGGGGCCGCCTGCCGATCCGTCTCCTGGCCCCCAGGGACAAGGCCAGCCTCACCATCGCCAGAAGGGCCGCGGCAGAGCAGGACCGGGGTGCCGCCGCCGCCTCCTCCTCCTCCTCCTCCTCCTCCTCCTCCTCCGGCCGCCGCCGCCGCCTCGCCCTGCCCGCCTCCCCGCTCCCCCTCCCCTCCTCGGCAGGGAAGGAGGAGGAAGGCAGATGGGCCAGGCAACAGCGCCTCCTCCTCCTCTTCCTCACAGGTCTCCTCAAGGCCTCTCTGCGGGAAGGGGGGGGGGCACACGCTTTGGGTCCCTCTCTTGCCCAAAGAGCAAGGGAAAGTCCAGCAATTGGAGGAGAGCGGAAGGACACACAAACACACCTTGACATACAGAGAGAGAGAGAGAGACGGATAGATACATAGGCAGCACATAGGTAGGTAGGTAGGTAGGTAGGTAGGTAGGTAGGTAGGTAGGTAGGTAGGTAGATAAAGAAGAGAGAGACAGAGAGGTGTTAGAAAGAGATAAATTATAGATTATACATATACATAGAAGATAGAGAGTAGAGATACATGAAAAAGAAATAGAAAGATGGATAGATAGATAGATGCATAGGTAGATACTGTACATAGATAGATAGATAGATAGATAGATAGATAGATAGATAGATAGATAGATAGATAGATAGATAGATAGATAGATAGATAAGATAAGATAGGGGGAGAAAGGCAGACAGATGCTAGAAAGAGATACATTACAGATTATACATATACATAGAAAATAGAAAGGATAGATACATGAAAAAGAAATAGAAAGATCAATAGATAGATAGATAGATAGACAGACACATAGATACATAGCTAGATGCATAGATAGATATTGTAGATAGAGAGATAGATAGGCAGATAGATAGATAGATAGATAGATAGATAGATAGATAGATAGGAGAGAGACAGACAGACAGATGCTAGAAAGAGATAAATTATAGATTATACATATACATAGAAGATAGAGAGGATAGATACATGAAAGATGCATAGATAGATGCATAGATAGATAGATGCATAGATAGATACATAGAGAGGGGTACATAGATAGATAGATAGATAGATAGATAGATAGATAGATAGATAGATAGATAGATCCTTGGATAGGAGAGAGACATATAGACAGATGCCAAAAAGAGATAAATTATAGATTATACGTATACATAGAAGATAGAGAGGATAGATACATGAAAGAGAAATGGATAGATAGATAGACACATAGATAGATAGATAGATAGATTGATAGATAGATGCATAGATAGATAGATAGATAGATAGATAGATAGATAGATAGATAGATAGACAGGCAGACAGATACTTAGATAGATAAGAGAGAGACATACAGACAGATGCTAGAAAGAGATAAATTATAGATTATACATATACATAGAAGATAGAGAGGATAATACATGAAAGAGAAATGGATACACAGATAGATAGATAGATGCATAGATAGATAGACAGACAGACAGACAGACAGACAGACAGGAGAGAGACTTACAGACAGATGCTAGAAAGAGATAAATTATAGATTATACATATACATAGAAGATAGAGAGGATAGATACATGAAAGAAAAATGAATAGACACATAGATATATAGACACATAAATAGATAGATGATAAATAGATACATTGATAGATACATAGATAGATAGATGCATAGATAGATAGATAGATAGATAGACAGACAGACAGACAGATAGGAGAGAGACTTACAGACAGATGCTAGAAAGAGATAAATTATAGATTATACATATACATAGAAGATAGAGAGGATAGATACATAAAAGAGAAATAATTCATAGGGAGAAATGATGCAATACAAAGATGATAGAAAGAGATAGATCAGGCATGGGCAAACTTTGGCCCTCCATGTGTTTTGGACTTCAACTCCCACAATTCCCAACAGCCTACCAGTTGTCAGGAATTGTGGGAGTTGAAGTCCAAAACACCTGGAGGGCCAAAGTTTGCCCATGCCTGAGAAAGATAGATCTGATGACAGATAGAAATACAATAAATGATAGATTATATCTTTCACAAAGTAAAGCTGTACTGATAACTCCACTGATCATATCAACAATAAAAGCAAAAACAAAAGTTATACCTACAAATAGACAATGACCATTATCCTAAAGCTCCTGTAATAGTAACTAAAATGAATTAAAACACTCTAAAGCTTGATGAAATAATAAGTTTGGTAAAATGGGATTGTAGATGGATGGATGGATGGATGGATGGATGGATGGATGGATGGATGGATAGATAGATAGATAGATAGATAGATAGATAGATAGATAGATAGATAGATAGAGGGTCACTTGATGAACCAACCTAGACAAAGTATATTATTTGAGAACACAGAAATGCTGGACCACTCTAACAACCACCATGTCAGACTACACCGAGAAGCCATTGAAATCCACAAGCATGTGGAAAATTTCAACAAAGTAGGAAATCTTGAAATTGAACAAAATCGGGCTACCGGTATTTTTAAAAAAACCCTCTAAAATCAGGACAGTAACTAAAGAGCAATACTAAAAAACAGGGCCAGCTAATCACCTCCCAAAAAAGGATTCCTCCAGGCAGGAAGCAGACAGGCTTTGAAGCTGCAAGGCCATTAAATGCTAATTAAGGTGGCCAATTGCAGCATTCACACTTGCCTTAAATAGATAAGAGTTATTTCTCCCACCCTGGATATTCTGCAGATATATAAACCTCATTTGCCTAGTTTCCAACAAACCTCACAACCTCTGAGGATGCCTTCCACAGATGTGGGGAAAATGTCTGGAGAGAATGCTTCTGGAACATGGCCATACAACCTGAAAAACTCACAGCAACCCAGATAGATAGATAGATAGATAGATAGATAGATAGATAGATAGATAGATAGATAGATAGATACATACATACATACATACATACATACATACATAGTAGAGAGACAGACAGATGCTAGATAGAGATAAATGATAGATTATACATAGATTATATGTATATGTTCATTAAAGATTTCCCGTGACTCACTTCTATTTATCACAGGACACTGAAACTGCACATCTCTATAAGTTATGTGCCAATTTACAACACAGAATGGGTAATGGTCTTGATTTTACAGGTTCTGAAGTGATGTGAGGTTTGATAATGGACCCAGTGGAATACAGAGCAGTCCTCAAGTTCCTTTACTTGAATGGAGACATTTGATGAGATGAAAGAGGTTTATGGTGACGATTCCCCATCATATTATATACTTAAGAACTGGCATCGTCAACTCAAATGTGGTCGGACTTTGGTGGAAACAGCTCCAATTCCAGGCTGCTATTGAAGAACGCACCATCCAGCAAGTGCAGGTCACCTTTTGGGAAAATCACCATGTAACCATTAGCCACCTAGCCCAAAATATCAAGATTAATGTAGGGTCCGTGGAAAAAAAATAATCCAAGACTATCTTCACACGCATAAGGTATCTACTTGCTGAGCCCTTGGCTGCTCACACCTTTCCAGAAGCAGGAATGAGTCGAATGCTCTCAGGCTCTATTGACAATGTGCCATGGAAACCAGAAGGACTTTTCAACAGACTGATCACACAGGATGAAAGCTGGGTCCATCACTATGATCCTGCGACTAAAATGCAGTCGATGTAATGAAAGCATCATGACTCACTGCCTCCAAAGAAAGCTTGTGCCCATTTCTCGGCAGGCAAGGTCATGCTCACAGATTTTGGAACCAGCATGGAGTAGTATTGATGGATTTCCAAGCAAAGGGTACCATGATCACTGGGGTATACTATGCTTCACTGCTATGGAAATTGCAGGAGGCCATCAAAACCAAGAGACGAGGCATGCTCACCAAAAGGGTCCACCTTCTGCAAGACAATGCACCAGTTCATAACTCACATGTTGCCTAAATTGAAGTATGCTCTGTGGCTTTGAAATTCTACCACATCCCCCGTTATTCATCTGACTTCCACCTCTTTCCGTGGATGTAGAGTACCTGGATTTCAATAAAGCCTTCGACAAGGTCCCCCATGACCTTCTGGCAAACAAACTAGTCCAAAGTGGGCTAGGAAAAACTATGGTTAGGTGCCGCAGGGTTCCATCCTGGGCCCGGTCCTGTTCAACATCTTTATTAATAACTTAGATGAAGGGTTACAAGGCATGATCATCAAGTTTGCAGATGACACCAAATTGGGAGGGAGAGCCAATACTCCAGAGGACAGGAGCAGGATTCAAAATGATCTTAACAGATTAGAGAGATGGGTCAAAACTAACAAAATGAAGTTCAACAGAGACAAATGCAAGATACTCCACTTAGGCAGAAAAAATGAAATGCAAAGATACAGAATGGGGGACACCTGGCTTGAGAGCAGTACGTGTGAAAAAGATCTTGGAGTCCTCCTGGACAACAAGCTAAACATGAGCCAATAATGTCATGCGGCGGCAAAAAAAGCCAATGGGATTTTGACCTACATAAATAGGAGCATAGTGTCTAGATCCAGGGAAGTCACGCTACCCCTCTATTC